CCACCGTGAGCTGGCCATGCATTGACAGTCCAGAGCTTTCCCTATTTCCAGTTCTTTGGGGGAAAACTTCAATTCCAAACATGCTTTAAAAAAACCCCCATCTGCTCCTTCTCCTGCAGAATGCAGCCAAAGATGAAGCACATTTCCATCCATCCAGCAGCTTCACAGCCCCTGTCCCCCCTTCCCCCCTCCAGCTGAGCCAGCCTGCTTGCATCACCCTGGGGGGGGGGGTCTCACGGCTTAACTCCTCTCCTTTCTTTCACTTCAGCCAGAACATTGCCCCCCACGCCGGACGCTGCAGCAGCCCGTGATATGCCCAGGAAGGAGCTGGGGCTGGGGATGGCTGGCTGCAACTCGGGCAGCTGCGACAGCATGGTCAGCACGGCCTCCAACCACTCGCAGCGCGTAAGTAGAATCATAGAATGGTTTGGGTTGGAAGGGACCTCAAAGATCATCTAATTCCAACCCCCCTGCCATGGGCAGGGACACCCTCCGCTACACCAGGTTATTCAAAGCCTCACCCAACCTGGCATTAGTAACCCCGTTTCACCCAGCCCAGGCATGGCAGGGGCTCAACTCTCCCCTCTTGGCAGCTGAGGAAGGATTTCGGTCGGATCTCTGCTCCAAACCACTCTCCATCAGTGCTTTGGAAGCACCCAGGGGGCCCTGATTCAACACCACGCTAAGGGCAGCACAAGGGCCAAATTAATTCCTGCCCCAAAGCACTCCCAGACTTTCCGTCCTGCCACGTGCGCAGCGAGGTGTCCTCGGAGACACAACACCAAGAGCCCAGCGGATCCTGCATCGCCAGGAGATGCCAAGGCAGACAGTGCAGGTGCTGGGCGAGAGGAGCCCAGTGAGCTCCCCGGGGAAGGATTAAACCAGTGGGATAACTGGGTCAGACTGGCTCCAACAAAGGTGACATCACCTGGAAAAGACAGCAAGCCGTACTCCTCCCGGCCGACAAGAGATTAATTTCCTAATTAAGGCAGAGATGAGTTTGGACCATGGGTGTAGATGTGTAATTTTTCACTATCTGTCCATTAAAGCTTGTTTGTCTCCCAACACTGATTCCAAGATTGATGGACTAATTACATCCTGTCTGACTTGGAGCATAATTGATACGTGTAAGTGCAGCGCTCCGTCCTGAACAGGTTTTCCACTTGATGTATTGCAAACCAGAACCAAACCCTCTGAAATTTATTAGGGATGGAAAAACTGGTTGCAATATTGCATGGTAAAAGATTTGGGTACATGTTTTTCTGCAAAACATCTCCACCTAGGACAATTTCTCCTCCGTGTTTGTTGATCTGATGCACACTCCATCCTTTCCTGCACATCAGTTTTTTTTCATGATATATTGCGTGTATCACCTTGTGACACAGCAATCATACCATGGGACTCAAAATACAACAAAAATTAAACAGGATCTTGCTGTACTCCCTTCAAAGCTGGGATATAAAGAGGAGAACAAGGAGAGAGACCACCACCCACAGATAAGCCTTCAGTATTTATGATATTTATACAAGCTTCTAAGATTCAGCATTGCTGATCGCTGTAGATGCCCGTACCTATAGAGCACCCGTGTTACCCATCCGCTCCTATTTCAAAGTAAACTAAAGAACTAAAAGGTAGAGGCCAAGTTCCCGAGTTAAGAGTAACCCATTTTCTGATGCTCATGGTAAGACTGTTTTTATATTGCCCTAAGTGTGTGTGTATATATATATTTTTTTTTTTTAGAAGAAACTGTGTAGTTTTCTGTACCTGTATCAATTTTTGAAGTCACTGGCCAAGTCTCCTGGCCAGGAGCTGTCATGGGTCTCTCCTTACCTGTCATGGCTGGCAATAATAACACATTTGTGACTCCTACCTGTGCTGCTTTTTTCTTTTTCAGAGTGATAACAGTTATGACTACTTATCTGTGGAAGAGAAAGAGCGTTTGATGTTCTTAGAAGAAACTATTGGCTCCCTGGACACAGAAGCAGACAGCGGGGTCTCTACCGACGAGACCGACTACGTGGAGCCCTCCAAGCTGCCCGGGACGTGGCCTAAGAGAGACACTGTTGCCCAAGGTAAGCTGGGAGCCCGTGCTCCAGCCTTGTTTGTGAAGGGACTGTGATGGCCAGGGTGCGTTCCCTTGGCAGGCGGGGAAGGAGCATTGCCCCAGTTTTTTCACGGGGGAAGCTAAATCAGCTTGTTTTCGCGGCTCCGGGGCGAGCGGTGGCTGCAGGCAGCGGGGCAGGCAGGGCACCAGCTGCATTCCCCCAGTTCTCACGTGCAGGAGCTGTTGGCAGCGATCGAGCAAGGTCAGCAGAACCGCAGCGCAGAGCATCTTTGCTCGTGCTCCGAGCTCACACAGATTAACAAGGCTCCTCATTCACCACGTGTTTTGTCGAATCCAAAGTATCCAACTTTCTAAGCAGTGGCAGCGTATTAGCTGGGGTCAGGGTAAACTCTGCGGGTGCAAGTACGCTGCCATGGCTGCACTGGTTTATCAGGCATGAAGCAGCACGTTTTGCACACAGGAAGATGTCCTGTGTCCAGGTGCAGAACAGTGTGTGACTCCACATCTCTCCCTTTGCCTAGATTTGGAAAACGGGGCTCCCCCTCTGAGCGTAGGTCAGCAGCGTGCGGCTGAACAGAAGAGTGGTAAGAACATCTCCACCTTCTCAAGCTCAGCTCCAGCAGCAGCTCCAAGCCCAGGCTATCACAGCCTTCCAAGGAGCATCACAGCAGCGAATGCACAAAGAGCAAATGGAGCTTCTGATGGCAAAGCGACTGCCCGCACGGTGGAGGACCCAGTGCTGCTAGGTCAGTCTTCACAGGAGATGGCCAAGGAGGACAGGCTTGACCAAGCCAATGCAAGAAGCCAGATGAAGCCCCTAGAATCTTTGATTATCCAACCTCCAGATCCCTTCCAGGATGACCTGGTGAGCCATGAGTGGTCACGTAGCAATCGCTCAGATGCCAAGAGGAAAACAGCCAAGGAGACCAAGAGTTGGACTTCATGGGGCCAGCCAGAGAAACCCATGTTGGAAGAAGCTCCTCAGGACCCAGATGCCAAGCGTGGGCCTCCAACTGCACCCAAGCCACGGAAATTGCCACCAAATATTATTTTGAAAACTAGCAAAAACAGCCCAGTGCCACTCGCCACAGAGCCTGGCCAGAAGGTAAAAGCACCACCGTCATCCTTGGCCGGCTCTCAGCCTGGCTCTGCTGGCAACACTGCTGTCGAAAAGGCAAATTCAGGGCACCTCGACCCCAAGGAGAGGGAGAAAGCCAGGCAGGAGGCATTGGAGAAGCTTGGACTGTCACAGGACAGGAAGGAGCCCAGCACCCATCTTCAACCTACCATACAACCCCAAGCAAGGGAGATGCCATTCCCCGTTCCTGGAGAGCCCGAGGCACACTGCGAGGCAGCGGAGAGGTCGGTGCCAGGTATCTGGCAGATGAACTTCAAATCCAACACCCTGGAGCGCTCCGGTGTGGGACTGAGCAGCTACATGACCAGTGCCAAGGAGCAGAACATCAAGACCAGCAACTCCCTGGGCAAGATGTCCTTCATCGAGCGGCTTGCCCCGAGCTTCCTCAGGAGCAGCCGCCCCCGGCCAGCATCCCTCGGGACAGGGAAGGACTTTGCTGGTCTGAAGGAGCCCGAGCAAGCGGAACAGGAGAAGAGCAGCAAGCGGAGATCCCACCCGCTGCAGAACTTCCCCAGGCCGCACCGCTCCTGCGTCAGCGTGAAGATTTCCCCCAAGGGCACGACCGATGAGAACCGGCGAGAGGCACTGAAGAAGCTCGGTCTGCTCAAGGAATAGCTCCACGAGCAACGAGACAGCTGGAAAAGGGCTTTTCATCCTGGATCCAGGCGCCTTCACTGCCTGTCCTGGGGCAGCAGAACCATAAGCATCTTCTGCAATCTCCTGCCCCAGCGTCTTGGTACCACGAGAAGTATTTGGAGCTTCACGCCAAATAAAGTAATGCCACGTGTACATAATATTTTGTATATAGCAGGTGTATATGAGCTATTCATGTGGATGGGGCATATTCTCCTACAAGGTCTTTAATGCATTTGGGGATTCATCACAACACCTGCGATCTCCTGCCCCAGCGTCTTGGGAGCGGTACCACGAGAGGTATTTGGAGCTTCACACCAAATAAAGTAATGCCACGTGTACATAATGTTTTGTATATAGCAGGTGTATATGAGCTATTTATATAAAGCATCACTCAGCATGTGGATGGGGCGTATTCTCCTACAAGGTCTTTAATGCATTTGGGGATTCATCACAACAGGGAAGCCAAGGAATCAGGGGTTTGGCTTATTTTAAAAGGGGTTGCCCGTGGATAAAGCATCTCTGGGAAGAACTGCAAGACTCTG